TTGATTTGTGCGCCAAATTGCACCAGGGCTATATCTGATCCTATTCTCTCTCCCTTTCTCTCTCTCTCTCTCTCTCTCTCTCTCTCTCTCAGCACTTATACCATATGTATGGTGTAGTGAAAAATATAGTTGAGATCGTGTATATCGATAGACCAGTATTTGCTTGTCTAACAAAAACAAACTTTTCTTTCAATTTTTTGTGTGTTTTTCTCCTATTTTTCACTCTTGAGAAGAGAGACAAACATTATTGGACTCAAAACAACATAAAAAATAATTTTCACTTCTCTTCTCTCATTCTTCAAAGTGTTTCATATTCTCAGCTATTTTTTCAATTCTCATTCAATTCTTGTAATTTGAAAAAATCAAACGAATAGAAAAAAGTACACGAAATGGTCGGTCGACTTGTTTTGCACTTATGGCTAATTTTCCGCTTAAGGAAAGGCATCGCACGTCTTAATATGTTGACCAGAAAGGCGTTACGAGAATCTGGCAAAAAAGTGGCGCATCTGCTCTCAACGTGCTCTCAGGCCATACACATCGACACAGTCTATAGGACTTACAGTTTCATTAAATAGCCTCTAAAGACAACTGACGAAGTGCTGAGAAAATGCCAAAAGAAAGAAATAAAGAATGCGATGGCTGTGTGATAGGGGGACTGGTAGGGGCACTGGTAGGGGCACTGGTGGTGGTAAGTGCGGGACAGACTATACAGTTTGCCGATGCGTTGGCAAACATCCTGCAATTAGTTGCACCAAAGTTTGTGTCATTTCATTCATGATTTTGATTCAATCGTTTGAATGACTGAATAAACTAACGATCATTTAGTAAATTGTATTGTTATTCAGAGTCGCAATCAAAACGATATCAACTTTTTTGCCGTCAATTGAGACAAACATTTGTTTTTGTCTCAAACTTTTTTCTTTTTGTTTGTTTCGAGAAATGTTTTCTTCGATAGTCTTCTTCATTAGAATTATATTTCTCTCTAAACTCCAAACCGACAGAAAAACTATTATAACTAATACCTGAGGAATACGTATGTCTTAAATAACTTCTTATGGTATTTAGCTTAAGGGCTAATCACTGTTGCGTTTCGGAAATGCCGTAAAATATAGTAAAACACATATACCCCTCATACGACCGAAGGTCATAATTGTTTCGCATTTTGAATAAAATACAGAAAACTTTCAGTCATATAGTCATGTGGTGTACGCACTGCTACCTCATCAGTGAGAGAAAAATCCTATCGCCTTAAGATCCCGATCCCATGCACTCATGCATGCGATTCATCTGCAATTTTGGACTAACTTTCTCATCTCAGGCACGCATCACAAGTTTCTTTGATTCACAACTCCTGTTGTTTCACTCCAGAAGAATGTGAGACACATTCGCTCCCATTCTCTAACACATGACATACAAATCAAATCAAATAATAACTTTAAAATTCATATTATTTTCAATTTGTTAACAAATTCTACGATATATTATACTTTTTTACAGCCATCTCTAAATTATTAAAAAGTTTTCTCAAATATTATGTGTTGTGAACATTTCACAACATTTCTAAATAAATTGCTTATTTTTTCACTCTTATAATATTGATATTTAAAATTATAATTTAATTTTTTAAAATTTTAGTTTATTAATTGGAAGAATACTTAAATTATTTACAAACTCTAAAATAATATTATTTGTTATTTTATATTATTAATATAATATTTTGCAGCACAGGTGCAGTCCTTGAGTATAATAATACGATTAAGAATATTTATATTAATAATTAATATTAAGCAAATAATTTATCATTTTTAAAATGCTTAATATTTTATAAGTAGCACTTAATTACATTTTAATATATTACACTTAATCTAAATTATGCTTAAAGTTAATTTTAAAATTAATAACTAATTTGATATTTAAAGCAAATTATATATAATATTATATAAATATTAATTATTTTAAAGTTATTCAAATAATAATTAATACATTTTAAAAAGATATAAAATATTGTATTATGAATCCAAAAATAGATCTAATACTCCATTTGATTTTTAAAACTAAACAGATATTAAAATAGACATAAATACACAATAAAGTAACCAAGATACAGTATACAGTACACAAAAGTTTGTTATAGAAATTCAAAGTGATTTTGAATTGAGAGGACTTTTATGTAAAGATGTGACACATGTGTGCATACGTCTGGATAATACATAATAGAAGAGAGCGAATGTGAAGCCCTTATATAAACAGATATTGTGTTTGTGATGAACAATACTAATGTCACATATTTGACACTCAATGCGGGCTTTGTGTCCATCATATAATAAAAACAGTTTTGCCAAAACTATTTGAACACAATTCTTATGTCATCTTTTATGATTCACATTTGTATTTGCATTCATTCGGAGTATTTCAGAAAAAAGTTTTCTGCTATGAGTTTGTAATGAAGTTGTAATAAATGCGGTCGACATAAGACTTTTCATTACTTGAAAAAAGAAATAAGAAATAAGTTGAACATAACATAACATAACATGATTTCTCGTCCCTCTATATATGGAAAGTTTTCTTTTTAGAGAAAAATATTGCCAAAAATAGTTAATGATATACAGCTATACAACAGTCTATTACTTAATGACATTCACTCTAAACTACGGCTATTATTGAAAGAATATAAATCGCTATACATTTCTTAAAGTTTTGATTTTTGGCGAAATTTATTTCATTTCACGAAATATGGAAATAATTTGCTTTCTCACTGGAAAACAGATATCAATATTTTCCATACAATTGCCGTTTTACAACAAATGTGTTTTTGTTGTAAAATTATTCTGTGAACTTAATTTATTAAATCAGTCAAACAAAAAATAATACAACAGGTGTTTTATAAGAGGGCGTACCGAATGGCACTATTGGCATGTCTGGCTGTATGGCCCAAACATATTTGTAGTGCATTGCAGTCATGAGAACACCACTAATGCATGGCTCAGGCACTGAGCGCCTGTCGATGAACACAGGGCTCGTAGAATACTCTCCCGACGTAAGGCATACTGTAAGGGCTAACAAACTGTCCGAAACACCTTTCCATCAGCTCTTTGTACTTGCCATGCAAACAGATCTCTACACATATTTTACTTCTTTCTTACCTTTTTATGCTTTTATACAACGCTTTAACAGTAAAATTGTCTCAATTTATGATTTGAAAAATGGTTTGACAAACAGTGACATCAGAAATGCACTCTCCATAACACAATTGCCAATAATCCTCCACAACTGGACTCTACACTACTGTCAATACACTGGACCAACACATTAGGCAAAAGAGAAATATGTTTTCTATTCAATTCATATCCAATTCAAATAAAAAACTATTTTTTATTTATTTGAAAATTTCTGATTCCATTCATTGGGACATTCGTTAGGAATTGTTGTTGTCGTACAAAACTTTCGGTTTCAATACAAACTCACATTTTTATATTTGAGTTAATCATGGAAATTGTTGCCAACAATTATTGTAAATTCTATTGTATTCCGCAATACTGTACTGTAATTGTGAACGAAAGCGAGACATCAATTCAATTACAGTATTATATTATATTATACACAGAATTCTCGGAGTTTTATTCAATGCAATTCCGTTCACTATTTCGTGTATAATATGAGAAATATTAGTTTTGAATATAAATATCATTTACTTTTAGTAAGTCATTACTTCGTCTGTGTATTCATTTTTCAAACAAACATATGAATGCATATTTGAATGCAATATAATATATTGAATATATTGTATAACGAATAAAAGAATTTATGTTTAGAAACGTTTTCAAAATTATTATATTTATATTTAGACTGAAAACTTATAAAAAGATTTTTTTGTTAAAAATTAGATTCGATATAAAATATAATAAATACTTAATAGTTTACAAACAAACAAATATGATTGAAATATAAAACATGAATTTGTATTCATTTAACTGAGAATCGTGTGATAATCTGATGAATCAATTATATATTAGTTATCATAAGAAACAATCGAGTGATGGATTGAAGTAATTATATAAAAGTATTTATCAACAAATTTCTGCTAAACTATTGTTTTGTATAGATTTTAAGCAAATATTTTTTGTATGTTTGCAATAATTGGATAATAAAAGCTTTCAATTAGACTAATCCATTCTCTCGACATATAATCAGACATTTGAAAAGGTTTGATGAAATTTCACTCAACTTTTAATATGAGTGATGAAAATGTTTTCATTAGAGCCCAGAATATATCGTAGATTTACTTCAATAACTTAATTAGTGTTAATTAATGAGTCAAACTGTGATTACTATTTATAATTAGATAATCATTAATCATGTATGTGTTCAACAGATCTGAAAAGTCATCGAAAACTATATCGAAATACTCATAATTGCAGTCATATTGCAGTCATAATTCATTTTTGTCTCGAAATCACTGAACAAATGAGTTGCAGATAATTATCTCAAGCCATAGATAATTGCATTCAATGTTAAGCCAACTAAACAGTGATCTATTGATAAGTGTTTCGTAACTATTGTTTTAAAATACAACAAATTAGGAGATAGTTTTAGCTTAGACTTTAAAGTTTAAAGTTTAAAACTTTACAAAATATACCACTTATGGCTAATTGACGAGATATTGATTGAAAGTTTGATAAAATAACTTTTTTAATCAAAAAGTGTTCAATCTTTGAATGAAGTATAAGTGCTATCTATGGGACAATGCATACATAAAATACAGGCATCTATTGAGAGCATTCATACGATACGTTAAACTAAACCCTGTTTTCAAAGTGATTGCAAACAAATGCATTGCTTTGTATGGCATTCGTTGCCCACATATCACTCACTCTCCTAATCATTGTTCACATTATTTGTGCACAAAATGCAAACAATTGTCACATGTTTTCAAAAGCAGTTGTTTTCAAATCAAATGCAAAACAAGTGATGACTCTTTGGATGTATTTGTGGTGATGTCTATGAAAGAGAGGGCAAAGTCTGCCAAAACACTGATCTGTTTGTTGCAGTCACTGATTGGACACAAGACTCGCATCGACTTAAGAAATGACTGCCATTTGGTTGGTGTCATCTCCAGTGTGGACTCATTCATGAACACAGAGCTCACCCATTGTCACCTTCGAGACCACGACCACCAACTCATCCAATCGTTTGACTACTACTTCCTCAAAGGCTCGCGAATACGAATGGTTCACATCCCTGAAGACATTGATATCATTAAGAATATTGAGAACCAGTTGACTGTCATTCAGTCGCGAAGGAAAGGCGTCCAGAGATCCACTCAAAGAAGTACTCAATCGACAAATGAGTGATCAATCGGTCTCTCAATTCATTGGTTTTCATTGAATTTATTGTGATTTTAGATTATTTTATGAGATTTTAATTGTTTTTTA